TACACATATTGTTAAAAGTTCAATAATGGTGTTAATGCTTAGTTGTGTGCAAAAAAAATTTAATAAATAAAATAAAGATCTTATTGAATAAGAACGTTTTCTTCAAGCCCGTGAAGAACAATTTGGATTCAGACGAAACCGATCAACAGTGATTCGTTGTCCGCCAGGTCATTGAAACTGCCATCGAATATTCCAAACCCGCTTTTATGTGCTTCGTGGATTTGACGAGAAAAAATTAATTTCAAAAAGAAAAACTTTATGCGTCTAAAGAGCGCAATTGGAAAATCACACATACGCAGTAGATATTTCAAACAAATATCTGCCTGGTTGCATAGTTGACATCGTAATAATTTATGAAGAAACCTTGGAATTGCAATAAAAAGTTGCCGAAATTTAAGCAAGTTTCGCAATGTTTAACTATACGAATAGTCGATCACTAGAACGTCGAACTACTGGCAACAAATGCGTATTAGCGCAATTGAAAGACTTCTTCTAAAGCTGATAACTTGGAAAATTGCCTTTCCGAACTGATGCACTTCAAGCCAGCATCAGTGTATGCAATGTGCGTAATCTGTGCGTATATGTGCGTGTTCGTTGTTTGTCTAAATGAGTGCATTGAACTTTTTGCGAGTCCAAATTTAAAATAAACACATTCCACCAGGGCTGGAGAGAAGCAGATAAATTTGAGACGGTCACAGATAAGATTCAGTTTTTTAATAACGTTATTTGGCTGATTTCTGAATGTTCTTTTATTTCCGTTTTTCCATTCGCGTGCTGGTGAATCGAGGCGAGTCAATTAAAAATAGAGTATTTTGGTTATTGATTTGGTTCGTTTAAAGAGACAACAACAAACAGTTAAACACTTACACAAAGAAATATAGAACGCGCAATTTTAGCAGAAAATTTGACAAATGCCGAAACAATTCACGATTGCAGAGCTTCGTTTTGTAGTGAATTGCAACCGTCTGATACAAATTTTTCCGTGATTGAAACCATAAGAAGAAAATCAAAATGTGGTCGCCTCGGGACGAAAAGCCACTAAGATGCATAAGTTTGGTTGCAAGAAGATCGCAAACAGCTGATATGGTTCACGAAAATGATGCAAATAAAAATCCATGATTCGCGAAAAACACAGACACTTTTAAAATTCTATTTAACAAACACTATTTGGACTTTTGAGTCGTTTGAATTTACATTTGAAACTGGTTTCACTGACTCTTAGGCTTAGTTGGAGTAGTTATGGGGACAATCGAATAAGCCTGTCGAACTATTCGATAGTTGTAATTTTAAATGTAATTCATTTGAATTATTCGATAGCAGTGCTTTATTCATTTGTTTTCTAATTACCGGATAATCCGATAGCTATAAACCGATTGCAATGAACGAGTTAAAATTTTAAATAAATTAATTTTCCACTTTTTAAGCAAATATATTGAATATTTATTTTACCATTTATTAAAATTGTTTTATTTTTCAAAAATTAAATTATTGAAAAAGTGCTGTAGTATCTACAGGGTGATTCAAAATTGGCGTCTTTCCTCTGGAGGTGTTGTCTGGCGGTGTTTTAGGAATACAGAACAAGTAGTAAAAACAGTTAATTGTTATTAAAACCTGAGAAATTTGCAAAAAACAATATTAGAAAAACGGCAACAATGTTTTCCAAGGTAATCTGCCTAATTAACATTACGTAAATACCTGTTGCTCCGTAATTATYTAAAACTCCGGTAACMATGGATAAATAGAGAAAGTGACAATAAGATAGACAAGAATAAACGATAAATTCAACAGGAATCGTTGAATGACAGAAYYTATTTCGAAACTCATAACCTCGAATTATTMATTTGTTTGCAAAATACAAAAACATACATATGAGTCTGTAACTCCAAACAAGTGCCTTATTGTGCACTCTACTCGAGCAGCTTCTCGTATTCGGTTAATTAACTCCTGYTCAATTTATATCGGTGTTCAGTAATCCATTGGTTTAATGTAAGTTTTTGAGTGCTTTTTYTAGAAGGMATACAATTCTAAATATTGTTTTATTAGTGTTTTATTARGCAGCTGTARATAATAATAACCTAGAAACCTGTATTTTCAAATAATATAAGTTTGTAATTTSTAACTTTTCTACACTTTATTCGATAGTTTCAATCATTCATTTAGTAATTATCCGATAGTGCCCATCACTACGTAAAAGCCCTCCTCGTTCAACTAKATAATAATTACGGATTTTCAGTTTTTGAACTTTCAAGAATTCTTGATGTTTAGGTTTTCTAGATTAAACCTCTATGTATATGTGGAAACTAATTACATGTGAAAATAACTGCAAATTCGCAGAATAAATTTCGAAAATTGCATCACAAATGCAAAACTAAACAAAGGCGTCTGTCTGTTTATCACCGATTTTTGTATATTGAAAATCACATCCTGATATCGGTCGTCGACCTGCCGAATGAAGCTGGTTTAGATACTCGCAAAACAAGCGCGTTACGATGATGCAATAATTGCTCGATTTTTTTATGAAGCCACTGATCCGCTAGCCAACGAATTGAAAATGGGCGTACAGTGTTGGCACGTTGACTATTGAAAAAAATGTATGCAATTTTTTAATAATATACGAAGAAAAGCCATCAAAACTGTTCAAAGGCGAAGGATGGCTTAAGAAGTAGATTCAGGTCGTAAATTTTTATCACACATTCTTTAGCGGTCCGTCTGGAGATGACAAAGAAAAAAGGTATCCAAACCGGGTCGAATGGCTGAATGGCACACAAAACAAACACGATATCCCACCTAGATAGTGTTGCCTAATTTGTCATTAGATCCTTTTGCTAAAGTCACCTGATGGGCGAATTTTCACGCATGTTTGGAAAGGCAAAATATCAGATTACCGATGAAGTTTTAGGTTGGACCTCAAATCAGCATCAATTTTCAACAAAGTTCAGACAACAGACAATACAGTTGTCTTCAACTGCAACGAGCGGTTCAAATGTTTTGAAACAATTCGCCTCCACCACTGAGATGAGGTACCTAATAAGGATTTTTTGTGTGTGTCGAGCCAGACAGGTTGACTTTGCTAAACCCCCTGTGAAGAATTTCGGGGTGCTGGTTGGGTTCCAACATTAATCATAAAGCGAAGCAGAAATTGCTGATGTTTTCGTTCTGGGCATTCCGCAAATGATGGATTCGTGATATTCCTTAATATTTCTAAGAGATTTGGATAGTTAACGGATCTTCGAAGAATCAGAAGATATTTAGAAAGTGATAGCGCGCTTTTAGACGTTCAAATCAGTGCATTTTGGATGCCACGTGTCGGCCTCTCGTCTTATTCACAGGGAAAACAATGGAAATTTAAATTTAACTTCCCGGAACATCGATGTTCTATCGATGTCCCAAATTTCCAACATTGATGGTAAAAATATCGAACATTGAACGAACTACATCGATGTTTGCGATCGACTTTTGCCAATTTTAAACCGATATTTATCACATTTGCTAGGTGAAGGTCGTAAGGGAATTGTGATTCAGAAAATCCTTGTAGTGAATGTATTTGGAAGAACTTCGCCTTTTGAAGACTTTGCAACGTGTGAAAACGCCGTGGGTGGTGTAGAATTGGCGAGCTCACTAGTGATGGGCGCTATCTAATAATTGCTAAATGAACATGCAACTCATAAATTCATTCATCGAATAGTGCGCGCTGTTAGTGTGGAAAAGTTACAGATTACAAGCTGATATTCTTTTGTAAATACAGGTTTTTAGGCAAAAAAGTGTCACAGGTAAACACTGTGGCTAGGCCACGCGCTACAGCTACTAGCGTAGCAAAACGATATTTAGAAATACCACTGTATGATCTATCGAAAAATCCTTTGGACCTTTGGGAAAAACATGATAAGTTGATGCCATTATGCAAAAAGTATTCACCCATTCCTGCAACTTGTACTTGTAATAAGTACAATAGTACTAATTCATAATGCAAATATGGAAACAAAACTTGTTGAATTTCTTTGCTTAAGAAGTGGAAGATTAATTTATTTCAAATTTGAATTGGTTCATTGCAATCGATTAATCGGATTACCCGATGATTAGAAAACAAATGAATAACAATACTATCGAATAATTCAACGAACTATCAAATAGTTCGATAGTTCCCATCACTAGTGACCACCTCAGGTTTATTGAGGAAAACTAAGAAAAACTGATAATAATTTCAGTTTAGTTCAACATTTTCCAATGGCTTTCGGAAAGTAAAACAACTGTCTGATTCCAAATTCCGCAAACCGTTACAATTCCACGAAATTTTACCATTTCCCAATATTCCGTTCGTAAAAAAAATTTCACTGCTCCTTTCTGCTTTTTGCTACGCGATATGTAAGGTTTGGCTCTTTTTGTCTGAAAACATTTTGTTTTTGCCTTTATTACAAATTCCCAAGAATTGACGAAAGCCAGTATATTGAAAAGATAACTTTGCCGTAAAAAGGTTGCCACGGTAGTATTTGTTTTCACTGTCAAAACGGTTTTAGAAAATTCAACCAAAAAAAAAACTGTAAATACGGCAAGTAAAAATTAAAAACAAAGAAATCGTTTAAAATAATTAGCCAAAATTAAGTGGTCCCGTAACTGCAATTCTAGAAAACGGCCCGCCCTCTAGTAGCCGCGAGTAAAACATGACCGCATTGCGTTCAGTCGATCTAGAAGGACACATTATGCCATCCTATGGTTACGAGTGTTACGACAGTTTCTACAGCATCGCTAGTCATTCTTTCGACAGTCGGAATCAATCAAATAGGTTAGTAAATAGATAGAAGCAGTGAAAAATCTGAAAACATCTAAATAAGTAGGCACATTTTCAGTAAAACTAACACAAAATATCAGTCACTAATCATATAGGAACATTTTGAAAGTATTATTTAGTGTCTAACGTTGAAACGCCATTTGGAATTTTCATTCGGCCCATAAGTTAAAACTTGTTATTGTTTCAGATTAAAAAATGGCAAAGCAAAAGAACGAGAAGAAGAGCAAATCCGCCATCAATGAGGTGGTCAGCAGGGACTACACGGTGAATCTTCACAAGAGGCTGCACGGGATTGGCTTCAAAAAGAGGGCCCCCAGAGCAATCAAGGAAATCCGCAAGTTCGCTCTAAAACAAATGGGAACCCCTGATGTGAGGATCGACACCAGGCTCAATAAGCAACTTTGGTCTAAGGGCATCAGGCGAGTGTTTTATACATTTAACTAAATATTGTCTGGCTAGGTTATGAGTGTCTAAATGATGTTTTCGGCCCCTTGGGACCTTTATGGTTAGAACTGAAACGGTTACTGTGGAAAATATCTGTGGCGTCCATAAGCTTGGCGCCAAAAAGCTTCTTTTACTTGTTGTCCAGATGTTAAATATTCCATCCATCTTTTGCAATTCTTCCTAACTAGACGTCCCTAGCTAATTATGTTTTCCACCTCATTCCTTTCCATGCGTTTCTGTGCCTTGCGATACTATATTTTTATTTCTGTTCGATAAAGCTTTTCGTTGTTTCTAAAACATGATTTTTGAGCTAGCAGTAGTTGAATGGTCAAACGATTTATGAGTCTTACAGTTAATTCGGTATTAACTTTTAATTGTTCTTTCAGGAATGTTCCTTTCCGAGTTCGTGTGCGACTTTCCCGCCGAAGAAATGACGATGAGGATTCCGTAAATAAACTGTACACTTTAGTAACTTATGTTCCAGTTGCTAATTTCAAAGGTTTGCAGACTGAAAATGTAGATCCCAACCAGGAATAAACGTGGTTTTGAAAGCTGATTTTCGTGTATTTTCTTGAACCTTTATCAGTTTTACGGTCTCAACCGAAATTTACTGCTAATTTCATGGGAGGAATTATTGTTTCTGAACTCTCTCTATCTCTTGTGTTTTGCTATCCTTTTCACTCATGCACTTACGTTGGCAACATTGAGAGGAATTGTCAAAACGCCGGACAGAAATCAGCTGTTGCTCAGCCAGTGTCAAAAACCAAGTAAATTTTCATTTCCTTATTGTTTTCAAATTTAACTGGGGAAAATGGAAAATACAACAATTTATAAATGCAGGCTGTGCTTGAGTAGCACATCAAACAAAATCGATGTCTTTAAACAGGATTTCCCCAAAATGATAGAACTGTTAACCGGAATAAAGGTAATTCACCATTCGCCTATAGTTCTTTGTTTTTGCCCAATACTATGCTGTTGGTGTTTAGCAATTAAATTCCTGATTACCTTTCACTTGGGTGCTATTGCTGAAAAAGCTCAGTTCACCCCATTAGGTTATAACATCCATTGAATATTAATTTAATTCAAGCATTCAATTCTGTAGGTTGATGCTAATGATGGTCTCCCAAAAGAGTCATGCTTAAATTGCGCTAAAGACGTAAAGTTCTGCATGTCCGTTCGCAAACAGATCCTCCAGTCCCATAAAGTGATGATTAAGCAGCTCTTGGAGCAAGATGTGTTTGGTAGCGGTCTGATAAAACATGAAACGTCCACCCCAAGCAGCGGCACTAGTCATAGATTGGCAGTAAAGAAGAACCAACAGCGGATAAGATCCCAAACTCCCGATAGTACCACAGACGAGGAAGATCTGGCTAACTGTAATTACAGTGACAATGAAAGTATTTCGCTTAAAGAGGACGATGTACCCGACTGTGGCTCGCTTGGAGAAGATGTCGTAGAAAACATCACCCTTATTCATGAGTATCCTAAATCCGAAGTAGATCAATCCGTCAAATGTGAAGAAACAGAGACCACTAAACTAGAGGTGAAGACTGAACACACTGCAGACATCAAAGAGCCGTTATCGCTACCGCCTTTATCCCCTGAGCGACTACTGAGAAAACGAAACATGATTGCGGCCAGTAACAGATTCCTCAAGCAAGAAAATTCGATGGGCGATAGAAGATACTCAAACGTTATATTTGTAAGAAAATCAATGAGGGATCGGTTGAAGAAGCAAGCCGATGCCCCAAAAATAAAAAAGCAACGACAGCCAGATGACTCGAACGTGATCTGGAAGAATGGGAAGAAATACGCGGCGTGTGAAATTTGCAAAAGAGAGGTGAAGAAGCACTATTTAAAACATCACATGACCACGCATTTTCCAGAGCATTTCAGTTGCGATGTTTGCGGCGTGACCACAAGGAACTTGCGCGGTTTGAGGTACCACAAACTCTATTGGCATTCATCCAAGCTGGACTATATTTGCGACAAGTGCGGCAAAAAGTATCGCTCCAAGCATGCTTTGGATTTGCACAACAAAAAGGAACACGGAGGCATACGGGATTTGGAGTGCAATATTTGTGGCAAGAAGTTTTTCCAAAAAAGTAATCTATTTTTGCTAGGTTTTAGAACATTTTAGAATCAGTTTGCTTGTTACAGTGCATCTGAAGAGGCATGTGGATGGAATCCATAAAAAGCTGCGCCCACACAAGTGCGAATATTGCGGAAAGGACTTCACGAAGCGAACCCATTTAGTCACCCACTGGAGAACGCACACAAATGAAACGCCTTATGGTTGCGACATGTGCGGGGAGCGATTTAAGTTGAAGCTATCGCTTAAAAACCATCTGAGGAGAGTTCACAACTACGAGGAAAAGGAAAGGGTGTTTTGCGACGTTTGCAATAGGGGCTTCGCCACTGAACAGGGGCTGAGGGCCCACATCAATTCCAGGGTGCATGAAGGGGAAAAGTGCCAATATTGTTCCGAGTCGTTTACTCCAGAATATTTAAAAACCCACTTGCGGGAAGTCCATTTTCAGGTGGATTTCTACTGAATTGTATTTATTATAAGACGCAAAACTATGATATTACAGTGTAACTAATTATTCAATGGTTTTTAATTAGCGACATAAATCTGGTTAAATAAGTATGTTTAAGTTTGGGCGCTCCTCACGCCACGCCCTAATTATAGGAATCTGCACGAGTGGCTCATCGCAGTAACGCCTGTCATGGATTCAACGACACAAACTAACCTAAAATTTTCAATTTTGTTTTGTTTATGGCACAGAACATACCCCCACCATAAGGGGGGATATTTTGTGGTTTATGGACGGGTTGCTTACATAAAGTTTACATACGCCTAACGTTTATGGCTAGTATATACGTTTTTATTAGTTTTCCCTTATGGAAAGTTAACTTAAACAAGGAGAAAATGAAGTCCTGCGTACGCCATTATATATTCTTATGAAGTTTATTGGCTAAACAGGGATTGTTTAATGCCTTTCACGATTGATAACGTGTAACAACACAAACACTACACTTACATATTTGCTTCTTGTTAAATTATGAAAAACTTTCTAAAATGTTCAAACTAATTAGTGATGAGCAAAGCAAGACCAAGACTTTCTCCTGATTAAAAGAGCAAGTCTTGGTCTTGGTCTTGCAAGCCCTGCTTTTATATAAGCCGTAAAATGCAACGGAATTAAGTTAATAATAACACGAATAATAGTTAAATTAAAAGATAATAATAATCAAGACAAATCAATAAAAAAAATATCAGACTATTTGCTGTTTTAATAAGTTTAATTATTTTGTAATTCAAAATTGTTGACCCGTACTTTTGCATTGCCTGTTAAGATCCAGAAGATCTTCATCCAGAGAAATTGAATATATTTTCATATAGTGTAATTTACATATTCTAATGAAAGTGTAACAACAAGGAGGCAGTAAACGGTAGATATTTAAAAGTTTTGATTGGGCTTACAGAATTTTACTGATGAACTATTGAAGAAACTCACTTATTAATAATGCACATGATTCGTCGCAAAGATTAATTTAGATTACTGTTTACACAGCAACTATGTGCAAGGACTCTGGCAAGAAATATTGCAAAAATTATTACTAAAGTACATTGTAAACTGTTCATAGAAATTTATTTACTGCTTGAGATTTTACTGTTTTAATTCACCGATCCACTCAAAATACGAATTCGCAGGCACTTCGCTATGAACATAAAAATCTTATATCTAGTTCGAGCTTAACATATATTCATCTGTCTGAGTATTCATATGAAAAACGGTAGCGCCAATTAATACATTTGGACTTGTCTTAGGAAAAGTTTGATAATCTGTGCTTTGCACAAAATAACATTGCAATTCAAACATATAATGTATAATTTTTACACGATTCAAATACTGTTTGAATAGAAAATATTGTTCGTGATGTTCGTTTTTGTAATGGATGAGGTTTAGGAAATGCTACCTGCCTAGAGTTGGTATGCTAGAGCTTTGGGCTGTATAAGCCTCCAGCCTGGCTGATTACTTAGTAAAACCCTTTCGCTCATCGGTGAGGTACTCCTTCGCTTGCCCTGTTTATTCAATGAATGAGGATAATAAGGATATGTAATGGCGTACGCAGGACTTAATTGTCTCCTTGTTTCAGTAACTTTCCAAAGGGAAAACTAATCAAAACGTATATACCATAGCCATCAACCCAAGCGAATGCATACAAGCCTTCTATAAACAAAACAAACTTAAAGTTTTTAGGTTAGTGACGTAGAATCCAAATGATGGATCCATGACAGGCGTTACTGCGATAAGGCACTCGTGTTAAGGTTAAAGTTAGCTATTCTGCACCACCTAACTTCGTTGTTGTTTATATTTGATATCAATGTTTGGAAATTTGTAGCAATTGTTTCAATTTTGCTCAAAATGAGCGTGTATTATAGATGCCGGCTATGCTTAGGCATGTCGAGCAAGAAAATTGACATTTTTAAAGACGATTTTCCAAAAATGATCGAAATGTTAACTGGGCTCAAGGCAAGTAATGCAAAGTTGTTCCTCAAGAGAGTCCCTTATGTAAAAACTAATATTCGCAGGTTGATCCTTGTGATGACTTCCCGAAGGTCTCGTGTGTAGATTGTGCAAAAAATGTGAAAATGGCAGTAAAAACCCGGTTTAAAATAGTCCAATCTCACAAGGCTCTATTGGAGGAGTTCTTGTCCAAGTGTCGCGAAAATAAGATTTGCAAGTCCGAAACCATTAAGGCAGAAAACTGCGTGAATAATGAAGAAAAACCAGACGCTAGTCAACCCTCTCTAGCACAACCTGAGAGATCGCAAGTCCCTATTATGAATAGTGCTGGCCCAGAAGATTCAAACAGTGAAAACTCAGCGAGTTCACTATCACCTGCATTTTCTGACTCAGGTGAAAGTATGAACTGACTGTTTTCCGTGCCAATACTCATTGTTCTTTCCCCTTTCCAGATTGGCCTGCGGAAACAAAACCAACCGTGCCAGACTCCCCAGGAAGCCCAGAAGAATCGCACCGGCCCACATTGAAAGCCACCAAAGAAGTGATTTTTGTGAAAAAACGTAAAAAGCTAGCCCCGAATGGGCAGGCTGAAATAGTAGTACGCATCAAGAAAAAGCCCAAAGGCCGGGAACCTCCCAAGCGCGTTACCTGCGACATTTGCAAGCGCGAAGTACAAAGTTACTGGCTGCAAAAGCACCTGGAAACCCACGAATACAACCCGGTGACTTGCGAGTTTTGTGGGTTGGTGTCGAAAAGCCCCACAGCTTTACGCCACCATGTATTTTACTATCATAGAAGTGCCGCGGATGAGTATATGTGCGACCAGTGCGGCAGGAGTTTTCGCTCAAAGTACCGCCTGAATCTTCACAAGAAGAAGGAGCATGGAGGGACGAAGGATTTCGAATGCACCACTTGTGGCAAGAAGTTTTTCGAAAGAAGTGAGTACTTTTTTTTCTGTGGTCATAACAGAAGGGTGGTTTAAAGCCTATATAGCTTTTACGTATAGTCGCCCCTCAAGTTCGTTTTCTGTCCGTATGAATGTGTGACAAACCAAGATTATGAGTTTTTTAAGAATTCAAGGTGATCATCAAGGCATCAATCAAGGCATCGTTGGATAGATAATTGAAAATCGATTCAGTCGTAACAACGTGAGTGAGGAAATTCGAGTAGTTTTGACCCAGAAAGCGAAATTTGAATATCAGACACTTCGGTGCAAGATTATGC